TTTGGAATGGAGGGAGTATTAGCTAAATGTTATTCACCGATTGTTTCCCAACTATCAAGGTTTTGGGCAAGTTAGTTGTTTTATAGTTTTTAAGGCTGTTTAAGTACCATTTTAATCATGGTTATTAATTTCCTAGTATTAGTTTGTGTTGTCTAGAAATTTTTTGTATTTTCCATCTATTTTGCCTCTACACCACTTGCATAGTAGATAGTACTTCTTAACAGTTCTTAACTTGGGGTTAACAGTTTAAGGCTGTAGAAACCTAGTTCAATGGGTTTACCCATATCAGTGTTATGTTTTGGCCTAGCCTGGCTTGCTGGCTGCCTGCCTATGTGAATTTCCATTGCATGCATGGTGGTTTAGCGAACTGATATGGTCAAGGCTGAGATTGTTTAGCCATACTAGCAGCATACAAGGCAAATTTTTTCTGTTCAAATAATGAAATGAGTTTACTTGGTAGGATGGGTGAGTTTCGTGGCACAGGTAATAAAGATGATGCTAAATGTGGCAAGGATTGTTCAACTGATTCGTACATGGACAATTCGTCCAATACAAATGATGATGACTATGCTGAATGTTCCTTGGTTAGTTCACTATCTGCACATGTCCATAGAGTGCTTATCATTTATTTGTTGGATTTATGCAATTATTTATACATGTTGTAGTTTAGATTTCTATCACGTTAGCTCATAGTATTGGGGTTAAATACTTTTTTTTTATAATAGAGAGACCACAATAAATCTCAGCCTAATGATCCTAGTTGCAGTCACAATGTGTTCCACAGCGTTGAGGAAGATAATGTAGCTCTAGATGAGTACTGGAATATAGTTCAAATGAATTTTTAGACTGAAGATGAATGTTACAACTTCTACAATAGTTATGCTAAAAGGAAAGGTTTTAGTGTGAGGAAGGATATTGTGAGGCGTGAAAAAAGAGTTGGAGCCATCGAATACAGGCATTTTGTTTGCTCTAAGGAGGGGATTCGAGATCCTAGTTTGGTAAAACCTGAGGATTGTGTAAGAAGGGAAAGAGCGTTGACTCAAATGGAATGCGCTGCTAGTCTTAGCATCAAGCTTGATAAGAAACATGGTATCTGGTTTGTAGACAATTTTATTGATGAGCATAACCACCCATTGACGAGCCACGACGAGACTCCATTTCTTCGGTCTCATAGGAAAATTAAGGACTTCCAAAAATCTGAAATACATTCACTAGAATCTATTGGTATTCGAAAAAATGTCATAATGAAGGTCATGAAGTGCAAGTATGGAGGATACGATAAGGTGGGATTTGTCAAAAAGGACTTGTACAATTATTCATCAAGGTATAAGAGGTCTAGAATTTTGGAAGGTGATGCAAGTGCAACTTTAGAACTTATGAAGAAAAGGCGGGACAAGGATCCTGGTTTTTTCTATGAGTACCAAGTTGATGATGAAGGTCGTCTGAAAAATCTGTTTTGGTGTGATGCTCAGTCTCGCATGGACTATCAATCGTTCGGTGATGTTGTTGTGTTTGATAGCACACAAAGGATGAACAAATATAACATGCCATTTATTCCCTTTGTTGGGCTCAACCACCATCGTCAAACCACTATTTTTGCCTGTGGTATTGTGTCCGACGAGTGTGTTGAATCTTATACTTGGTTTCTTCAGGTGTTCTTGAGAGCAATGTGCCAGCAGAAACCAAGGTCTATAATAACGGACAGCGATAATGCAATGATGAAAGCAATCTGCCAAGTGCTCCCAGATACCGACCATCGTGTATGCTCGTGGCATATCGAGAGAGGTATCAGTAAGCACCTCCATTTCTCACAAATAAAGATATTCAGGTCCTTTATATATGATGCCTGCTCACATGCTGAATTTGAAGAAAAGTGGAGTAGTTTTGTTTTAAAGTACAGAACCTCTAGAAACAAGGGTTGGTTAAAAAGGATGTATAGAAAGAGGAAATTGTGGACAGCTGCTTTCTTGACTAACACATATTTTTTGGGCATGAAAAGCAACCAGAGGAGTGAGAGCTTGAATTCATGCCTTCATAGGCATCTAGACTATTACATGTCTTTGCTTGATTTAGTAGAGCATTATGAGGTATGTGTTTCTGAATTGCGTGAAAAAGTGGCTGAGTTTGATTCGAAAGCATCTCAATCATGGCCTGCTACTATCACTGATAGTCCTGAAATCGAAGAGTCTGCAGGGCATATTTTCACATCTGCAAATTTTGATCTAGTTCAAAAGGAGCTTCAGAAGTTAGATGGTCTCCATGTTGATGTAGTACAAGATGGTAAGGGTGAGAGGTACATGGTGACATCTAAGCAAAAAAGTGCGAGAAAATGCTATGTTGATTACACTCGCATTGGAGGAAACCATGATATTAGGTGCAGTTGCCGAAAGATGGAGCGTGAAGGGATCCCTTGCAAGCATATTCTCTCGGTATTGAAGCATCTGGAGGTGAAGGAAATCCCAAAGTGTTGTGTGCTGCAGCGCCTATCGAAGAACGCAAAAGCCGGTCTTCCTTCTGTTCGAAAAAGTGATTTGCATGTTTGGACAGAGAAACAAAAGAATTATTATGAATTGAATGCTCGAGGGTCCGAACTTTTTGACTTGGCATCCAATAGTCGTGAGTTGTTTAGGGAGGTGAAAGAATACATGGAGAGTCAACTATCAAAAATAAGTTCTTCTAATGCAGCAACCAAGAAGCACACGCATGTTGACGAGGTTGGTGAAACATCACATAGGCCTGAAGGATCTGTTTTAGATCCCATCTGTGTAGCCACAAAGGGTGCACCTAGGAGAATGAAAGGATGGGATGAGCATCGGCCAAGATTGTGCAGTCGTTGTCACCAACCAGGCCATGACATTCGCCGTTGTCCAGAGGCAAAGCGAGAAGAGTAAGTTGATGTTTCATGTTGTGTACAAATGATTTGAGTTTGGTGTGTTTATGTTATGTGCATAACACTAGTATTTCTCTTTGTTTGCGCACATTACTGCAAACACATATTGAGAATGGGCAAATGAATGCTTTACATCGTTGCTGCCAATCTGTGCTAGTGTAATATTAGGTTGGTTGCCTCATGCTAGATTGTCAGATTAATATATCCTGTATAAACTTGTAGCAAATTCATGCCACAGAACACACCTGGTTAATTATATGTAGACAAGATTTGGCCCTTATTGAGAGTCTGAAAATTGCTGTAATATTGTATGACATAAATTTACACTGTTTGGTATGATTTGTTCAACAATGTTCTCATTGCTAAACATTTAAGATGGTTACATCTTTGTTAGGTTTCAATTTTCATGCATGTGCTGCTAGGCACGTGGTTGGTTATTCTTGATTTTATTCACGAGCATTATTTTAACAATTTTCTACTTTTCATATTCTATAGGAGACTCTTCGGGTGAAAGATGAGGAGTTGCAGAATTTGGCCAACAATATTCGTGCTCGGGATGCTACAATTAAGAAAATAGCAGATAAATTAACACAGACTGCAGAGGCCGCGGAAGCTGCTGCTTCTGTAGCTCATACGTTGGATGGACATAGAATACTTCTATGTTCAGAGATTGAGCGCCTAAGACATTACAAGCAATGGAAAGACAAATGGAACAATCCATGCTCAAGGTAAATAGTTTTATTTAATATCTGAATTTTGAATGCTCTGAATTCTCATGCTCCAAATGGTCTATGGATATTACTGCTATGACAGTCTGAAGAAAAGGTAATTAGATTGAGCAAAGAGAAGGATCAATTGCTGAAAGAAAGAGATGCTGCACTTCAGGAGGCTCATATGTGGCGCACTGAGCTAGGGAAAGCTAGAGAGCAAGCAGTGGTACAAGAAGCAACTATTGCCAGAGCAGATGAGAAGTTAAGGGCATCTGAAGCAGATGCTTGGGTGTACTATCTCCATATTGCTATCTGCTATTCTGCTGTAGTAGTGCCTGACTAAAAACCTATTGTGTCAGTATATTCTGCCCTATCGAATGTAAGTAAGATAACAAGATCTGATATGTGCTCGTGTCTTAAGTGCTGGTGTCATGTATAAGTGTGATCAGGGCATGGTAGGCTCATGTAATGATGGTTATTGCTGTTATTCTCGTGTCAAAGCTTTGATAGCCTGTTAACATATGGAACTTGTATACTCTATGGTGTCACTTGAACTAGGGTTTGTGTGGTTTAGTACCAACTTACTGCACTACCAAAATTTTGGTAACTTCAACAGTAGCAAATGTATGTTTGGTTTGCTACCAAATTTTGCCCACAATAATTCAAATTCAATACTACCCAATTTGGTAGTGTCTAAACTTATCAAGGTTTTGGCACTACAAGATTTTAGTAGAGCAAAAATTGGCTTCAAACAAAACAAGCCCTATACTTTGGTATGGCCACGGAATGGTTATTAATACATCATGAGTCTAGGCTCCGCACTGCCATACGCTCAGAACATTTTGACAAGCCAAAACAAGGTCTATTTTTTGCAGTTTGGTTTGAATTTGTTTGTCTTTGCTCTTTATTTATTTTTCAGTCACCTGAAGTTGCAAAAATGCATAAAACCAACCGAGAAGTATGATGTTTTCATAATATAGTTAGCAATGGGCATCTTGCTAGAGGATATTTTGAGAATGAAGGCCAACCTGAACATAAGAGACTTTTTACCGGTCATCAGAACACAATGCAGTAAGGCTGTGTGACTCGATCTCACGAATTGATACTGTTCAAACAATGCCTTCAGGTCTCTCCAACCTTCAGAAGTCAGACCAAGCACTAAGTCTAGAAAAGTAGCATGAGCAAATACAAGTTATCTTTTTTTTTGGAGGAGGAGCAAATAAGAGTTAGAAGGTTTCCATGATGGCATAATGCAACTTTCTCTAAGATATAATTTCCAAAATCCCAACACAATCATCAGTGTGAAGCAGGAGATTGGATTCACAGTCATTCAGCCATTCAGGTAAACGCTGGCAACTGGTAATAACCGGTAAGTGAAACAAGTCGATGGGACGATGGCTATTCAAAGCCAGGGGCTTTTCTTTCACAGTGCAGTTCTCCAGCAAGAACCTCCTCAACTATCAAAATTGCCTACATATGAGTATACATCACCTAAACTAAAAATGTTGAGCTTCCGCTTGCACTCCTGTAGTTGTCCTAATGGTGGTGATGATTCATGCTTTCGGTCAAATCTAGATGAAGTCATTGGAATGTACACAAGTTTGGATGTTACAAAGATTAGGTGGTTCAGTCCACATAATCGATCACATCCCTGAAGATCACACGTCCATGGCTGACGGCCTCCCGGTGCGACGAAATGCCGGCTACATTCTTGAGCAATCTTACTACTTCACCAACATTGTCGACATAGTATTTTGCTTTGCTGGGTTTCTGACCAACTGAACAGGCAAAGACCTCTGGAACTGCAGGGAATGCAGAGCTGGAGGTCATGCTGTCGATGCTTTTGAACATGTCCTCATCAGATCGATCGTTACCGATGCACACTACGAAATCCAGCGTCTTCCCGTTGTTCATCAATCTGTGAATTACCTTGTCCACAACAAGACCCTTGCTAACTCCCTGCACAAGTAATGTATTTCATTTAGTGTGAGCTGGACATAATGAGTTGAAAGTGAAAAAATGTAGTAATAAATTCAAATGGTATAGACCTGTGGTTTGACTTCTACAATGTAATGACCACACTTCACAACAACAGGTTCATTTGATAGCACCCTTTCAAGATGACCCAGTAGTTCCTTTGCTTGGCAGGAACCGAAGTCATGGTCTGCATCCAGATAATGCCATAATAGAGCACTTTCCTTTGGCTCTATGGAGGACCCATCAATTGTTTCGGTGTAAACTTGCATGATCGGTTCAGCGATGTGCTTCCACTCAAAATCATGGTTTGGATAGCTTGATTCCCATTCAGCTGCTTTGTTCCATCTGAGAGAACATAAACAGTTCATTATACTCCTGAATAATTCAACTGTACAATTGCATAATAGTGTGTGGAGAAAATGCAAATAAAAACAGATTTAAGAAGAAAAAAAAGGTACTCAAAATGTTTACCTGACAAAATAGCCATGTTCTGCTGCAATACCAAGCTTCTAACATGGAGCAAACCACTCATCAAGCAAACTACGCATGTGAGATGGATGAAGGGGGTGCGCCGGGCTGCACGGCGCAGGGGCGGGGAAGCGGCGAGACGAGGGGACGAAGAGGATGGAGAGGCAGCAAGCCGGGCGGCGCTGGGCTGAGCGGTCAGCCTAGGGGAAGAAGAGAGCGGAGCGCTGGGGCGGCAAGGCGGCATTGAGCGGAGCAGCGGCGGAGAGGAGAGGGGAGGAGGGAGTGGAGGCGGCGTGGCGGTGCGGTTGAGGAGCGGCGCCGTGGTGGACCGGTGGGGGTGGGGATCGCTTCAGATGGACTGGGCTGGATATGGGCTCGAAAATCTTGACGAAATTACCCCTCGCTAATGATAATTAAGTGCTAATCTCGCTTCTAATCACAGCCGCTGATTATCTTTAACTTTCGTGCAAGTTTTTTTTTTCGGAGCATATAGGCACATCCCAAAATCTAAATCTCGAGAGTCAAGACCTGCAGGACACTATTGCGTAATGTTGTGGGAGCATCTGATACGGTCTCGCTGTCGCGTAGGAATCATGACACGAAGTGAAAGAGTTCCGTCTCTACCTCTAACTCTGACAAAAACTGTGGACAAAAATCACAGGAGACTCCTACAGATTTTGAATTCCTATAACAAAAAGATGAGGATTCAAAACTAATATGATTTAAATTAGGTGTTTTGACATAGCAAAAAGAACATAGTGGTCTCATTGCCAGAACCGGTTAAAAAAAAAAGAGAGCGCATACAATGTACTACCTTAACTTTTAATCATTCATCTTACCCAGTATATCTTGACAGTAACATTTTCCTTTGTGAAAAAGAAGGCAAAGTAACAGCCCAACTCACTTGCATATTTGGCCAAGCCGGCCAATTGCTACTGTCAATAGCTGATTAGTGACCATAATTAGTTAATCCCAAATGTATTAGAGTAGCAACATAAGGGAGAAACTGGCGCACATGCTCTGATTACTATAGTGGAGTACAGTACTGCTGATCACTGGATTGCACAGGCCAAGCCAAGCAGACAGTCCTACAAAATGAACCAGCCCGTGAAAATGTACCAGGTTCACTCTGATCAGTGATCTTTGCAGCACAGCTTGGCTATACGGAAAGAGAAAGTGTGCGAGATCCATTTTAGTACTACTTCTGCATCAACGCATGTGCTCAGCTCATACATCATCATCAGAGGCAGAGGAGATCCATTTCACCACTTGAGAAAACACAGAATCATCAGAAGCACTTTCATACCCTGCATCACCAAAATGTTTACACTCTTTTTTCACTTCAAATGTCAGGGAAAAGAGCAAAGACTCTGATCGTAAAAGGCAGTTAAAACCAAAGCTTCAAAATAGATTACGATGAAAAAAAAAACTCTTACATCAAGTTTTAAAAAATAAATTTTGGCTATGCACGACCAATCGACAAGGAAACAACGAAAGCTGAAATGTATCATCTCTCTTTGAGGGTTAAAAGCTAGAGCAACACAATGTGGTATATGTTCTAAAAAACACACACAATGTGGTATAGTACTAGTATTACTTTAGGAGGTTTAGAGCCATTTGATTTGCAATGAATGGACAAGATTGATGTACTACAGGACCCAATTAAACGATAAAATTGCTACGGAAAATTTCCGGAACAAACATGAAATCGCTACTACAAAATCACTGTTTTGTACAGTGGTACAAAATCTGTTTGCCCTCTGAATTTTCGGTGTTGTTTAGATCGATGCCATTTCAAACCATACTATTTTTATGAAGTTGTCAAATATGTATATCTATTAAATTTTTACCGAACTCTGATAAATACAAATCCTACCAAAATTTAATAATATTCCCTCCTTGCCATATGATCCGTTACCATATGTAACATGTGGTCACCTCATACGTCATCATCGGAGAAGATTCACTTATATTAACAAAAATCACAATCATTAAAGCCCTCAAAATTCTAATTAAACTACTGTACTAATCACACCGAATTAGCAGCCCCTCCCTAAGCCATTCCCAACCATCTAGAATGAAAAATCATGTGGCAAGTAAATAAACGAGGAAAGAGAAGAAAATCATGTCTTGAAATGTTTTCTACACAATATCCAAGACATCATGTGACTATGTGAGATAAGTAGCATTAAATTTAAGTATGAAATAGTGATATTTGTATTAGAAGAGTAGTGTCTAGTACTAATTTCTTAATGACGTGAAGTTTATGGAAACTATATTAGTGTTTTGGATTGGGAATGGGATGCATCATCAACAGCAGCAGCAAAAGCAGCGCGCACTTCAACGGGGAGAGCCCAGCTGACGTGGCGTCATACAGCCACTGACGTATGGGCCCCACCCCACCGTTTTTATAACCTCGCCGCCTCGCCTCCCCCTCTCTATCATCTTCTCGCTCGCCTCTCGCTGTCTCGCACTCGCCGCCGCCGCCGTCGCCGCGCCTCTCTCGCCGGCGGGGAGGTGAGGTGAGTGAGCCCGATTCCGCGGCCTCGTGAGCCGAGCCCACGTATTGTCGCGTCAATTTTCCGCTGATTTTTCTTTCTTTCTTTCTTTTTTTTGTGATTCTCAAGGTTTTTCTTAGGTGTACGGATTTGATGGCGGTGGCGTCGCGGCTCGCGGTGGCGCGGGTGGCGCCGGACGGGGGAGCGGCGGGGAGGAGGAGGAGGAGGGGGCGGCCGGTGGTCGCGGTTCCGACGGCGGGGAGGGGGCGAGGTGGGGCCGTGGCGGCGAGCCCACCGACGGAGGAGGCGGTGCAGATGACGGAGCCGCTCACCAAGGAGGACCTCGTGGCCTACCTCGTCTCCGGGTGCAAGCCCAAGGAGAACTGGAGGTGAGGAGAGGAGATTCCCTTGTGTTTGTTTTTTTTTTCTTTGGTGAAATTGGATAGCTTGTCACTGCTTCACTAGTGGTAGTGGTAGGTAGTTTTTTCCTCTAAAAAAACTAGTGGTTGGTAGAATGGTTCGCATGGAGACATCATTATCGTATTGGGTTCGATGGAAATGTGGAATTGGAGAATTTCCTATTGGCATATCCTAACACGCTGCTTTAGCTACGCAATTGCAGTTTTAGTTATAGTTATAAATCGATTGATTTCGGGCTTTCTATTGATGACTGATGAACTGGTTTATATGGCTCTAGTACTCTAATGTTGGATAAACAAACTGTTTAGCCTTATGCATTGTTAATGCAACTGTTTGATCATTTTTTTATTGGTAATTTTAGCTGTGATTGTTATTCCTACCTGATCTGCTAGCACCATTCGTTGGGCATGAAAGTGCTGCTGGTGCCTGCATTCAGTTTTTGTGTCATTGGCAATGTCATCTTTTTTGAAAGAACTTTTTCCTTTTTGAAAGAACATTGGCAATGTCATCTTGTTTGTTCAATTTACTCCCGCTTTGTTTGATATGGAGTATTCCAGTTTGTTATTTTGATTATGCCATAAATAAATTTCTGATTTCACAGAATTGGCACAGAACATGAGAAGTTCGGTTTTGAAGTTGATACATTGCGTCCTATAAAGTACGATCAGATCCGTGACATCCTGAATGGACTTGCTGAGAGGTTTGATTGGGACAAGATAGTTGAAGAAAATAACGTTATCGGTCTCAAGCAGGTAGTATTCTTCTGTTATTTCCGCTATGAGACCACCTTACATGACTTAGACCAACAATTAATGTGGACTGCCGTAATTAATTCTAATGGAGAAACAAACAAAAAAATGACAGTTTGTTCTGACAATTTTAGTTTATCCCTTAACTCAGGCTACTTATATGGTTGCAGGGAAAACAAAGCATTTCACTAGAACCTGGCGGTCAGTTTGAACTTAGTGGTGCTCCTCTTGAAACATTACATCAAACTTGTGCTGAGGTCAATTCACATCTTTACCAGGTAATGTGCAGTGCATCCCTGTATTAACTTCTTGCTTTATTTGATTTTCACTTATGATTTGCGCATTGCCATGCCATATATATCTTCAGTCCGAAAGTTTTTTTGCCAGCAGTTGATCCAATCCGAAACGTCTGTTCTTGTAGGTCAAAGCAGTTGGAGAGGAAATGGGGATTGGATTTCTCGGAATTGGTTTTCAGCCAAAGTGGGCACTGAGTGACATACCAATAATGCCCAAGGTAGTTTTGGCCTTAGACCTTGTAAAGCTTTAGCTTTTCTATGAATTCAGTGTTGCCTACATATTTAACTTAACTTACGAGAAGGGTTCCTATAAATTTTAATGCTTCAGATTGTTTCTTTATAGGGAAGGTACGAAATTATGAGGAATTACATGCCTAAAGTTGGCTCTCTTGGGCTTGATATGATGTTCCGAACATGCACTGTTCAGGTGATTATATGTTCATGTACTAATTTTGGAATTCCATCTTAAAGAAACTTGCAAACTTATTGTTACTTCTCTAAACAACTTTACTTGAGTCATGAAGGTTAATCTTGACTTCAGTTCAGAGCAAGATATGATAAGGAAATTCCGTACTGGTCTTGCATTACAACCTGTGGGTACTTTTGTTATCTTCCCTGATCATTTACTTTACCCCTTGACATGAACCTGGTTTATTCATTTAATGGATCGTTGCCATTTAACAGATTGCAACAGCAATATTTGCTAATTCTCCCTTCAAAGAAGGAAAACCAAATGGGTATCTTAGCTTAAGAAGGTGATTGCTTTATTGCTTTTAAAAGTACATTGTTTTGTTGTATGAAGTTGCCAACAACATCATTCATGATCTGCAGCCATATTTGGACTGATACTGACAACAACCGCTCAGGGATGCTTCCTTTTGTGTTCGATGACTCATTTGGGTTAGTATCTATAATTCATACCATTCGACCCTCTTCCCCCACCCAGAACACTGGCAATGTGATTGAAAACCTCATTTTGGCCAAAGATATTTTATACATGAAATGAAGGTTTCCATGTAACTGAAATTCTGATTATAGTTCGTTTCTTTGATGCAGATTTGAGCGATATGTGGACTACGCATTAGATATCCCGATGTATTTTGTCTATCGTAATAAGAAGTACATTGACTGTACTGGAATGTCATTTCGGGTCTCTTCCTGTTTCTGTTACCTTAGTGCTTGTGCTGTTATATGCAGTAGAGCTTTGGCTATAGAATACAGAACTTGGTTATTAACTAGACTAACTGGATTTATATTTGTTTTGCAGGATTTTATGGTAGGAAAACTCCCACAAGCTCCGGGGGAGCTGCCTACTTTGAATGACTGGGAGAACCATCTAACAACAATATTTCCTGAGGTTTGCCCTTCAATTTGTATAGCACGATCATCATGGCATGTTGACACTGTATGCTTAATGTAATAACTATTTGTTCTTTTGTATTTGGCTTGCAGGTTAGGCTGAAGCGATATCTAGAGATGAGAGGTGCTGATGGTGGCCCATGGAGGAGATTGTGTGCTTTGCCAGTATTTTGGGTTTGTTAGCTTACTCCTTTGCACTTCTTTTGTATTTCTGTACAGTTTGCAGTGTGGTCATTGGTGTCAAGTAGAAGTAAACGCAAGGAGTTTGGACATGGGTACTGTAGTAATGTATATCTTCCATGTTCTATAGGAAGAATTTTGAACCAGTTTTGGAATTGGTATTTGTATACAGGTTGGGCTGTTGTATGATGAGGAATCACTGCAAAGTATTTCGGACATGACCTCTGATTGGACAAATGAGGAAAGAGAAATGCTAAGGCGAAAGGTATCTTGAGTTATTTGTGCTCTCTGTCCCTGCCAAGTTATATAATATACTGTTGATCCATAAATAAACTTTTGTTTTGCCTTACAATCACCAGTTTAACAGAATTATATAATCTTTTTTGTCAGAATAATTTGTAAATTAGCAAAGTAACCCAGGTTCGGAAGTTACAACATGCTACTAGAGTCACCTTGGCCTTACTGTATCTAATTTGATTAGGTACCTGTAACCGGTTTGAAGACACCCTTCCGGGATGGATATGTAAGAGATCTAGCTGAAGAAATTCTGCAGTTGTCTAAGGTTAGTAACTTTCTTGAATGTACATTCTTTTATAACACGGAGTGCATGCAGATTATAGTAATGCTCCTTTTTTTGTTATTCCAGAATGGATTAGAAAGAAGAGGGTACAAGGAAGTTGGTTTCTTAAGAGAGGTTGATGCAGTGATCAGTTCAGGTGAAGATTTCAACATTCCAGCATCTCTTTTCATTGATGAAGATATCAACATTTTCATGGTTTTGCTGCGCTCTAGATAACAAATGAAGAATTTAACTCTGTTTTCAGACAATAATTCGTAGCCTACTTTGTTGCAGGAGTGACCCCAGCTGAGAGGCTGCTCAATTTGTACGAGACGAAGTGGCAACGCAGCGTCGATCCTGTCTTCCAGGAGTTGTTATACTGATGCTGAGAAACCTCTTACACAGCAAAACTGGACAGTCTGTAGATGTACTCCCCCATACAGAAAAAACCTCATATCCATTCTATTTCATGCCTCGGCAGCTAATGTCCGCCATCCGTTCTTCTTGAGCCTGAAGAGGGAAAAATAACCGCCGTGCAGCAATTCAGCTTCACGGACTCAATTGTTTCTGCCTCCTGGAACATTTGAGGTCGGAAGCCTTTGTAGGTGCTGTCTTTGTTGGGGCCTTTTACAACTTCCGATTTCCCTCGTCAACAGGGAGATGGGACAAACCACTGTTTGTACCAGACCCTCTTTTGTTCCTGATGATTTTTGTATGAAAAATAAGCCCATCTGGTGCATGATGGAAACTATATATATATATGGTTCCAGAAAATGTTGGAATAAGTATTTGACAAGCACGTGGAGTGAGTTCCATCCAGCTAAAAGAAATATCTTGCAGATGTAATGGCTGGTGTATTTGGTGGTCTCCATGAAAGTGCCTTTTTATTCGGTACTTATATGACTTGACTGGTTGTTTCCTGCTGCCTTCCTTTTGGACCTTTCTACCAATCTATATATGCTATCCTGATAGGAACTCACCCTGTCATTTTGTTATATGACAAGTAATCAGATATTACTGCATGGTTTTCCAAGATAAGATGGCTCTTCTTATTATTCCCTGCGCCTATGCCCCATCTTTTATTTATTTTTCATCAACAAGCTGGTGAATGATGTTGCATAAACGAAATTTCGTCGTCTCAAGAACATGATCAAGTTTGTGCATTGTTAATGTATAAGCAAAAAACAAACGTGTGAGGCGTGCATATGCTCTCTTCTGACCAAGCCCGTCTTACTGTCCTGAAAGCACGCACGCCACCACCCACCACCAACCCTTCCCCACTCGCACCTACTCCCTATCACTTACATGTGGGACCCACAAGAAAGAGGAACATACGTGTGTTGTGCATCTCCCATGCAAAACGGGCCAAGATGTGCTTAATCTTATCGTAGTGTTTTACTGGAAAGAAATACGCTTCCAAAAAATAAGTGCGTGTAAAGAAAGATACCAATGCAACTAGCTAGGCATTAAAGACAAAAAAAGGATAATGAAAAGCACATAATTTCTCCATCGAAGCTTACTATCAGTAGTGTCTGTATCATCCACGGCATCTTAAAAACTAGAGTACACACGGCAAGTCGGTAACACTAACTGCTAACTCTCTTATAAGTATCATGTATTGTCTGTAGCGTCCGAGTTAAATCTTGCATATGTCGCATGTATTCTCTTCTTATTAACTCACAAGTGACACATCAACTATCAGTGGAGAAGATAGGAGGGGCGAGCAGGGGTCTCGTCTCCCCTAAGCCCCTACAACTACACTATATTTGCTCTAGTTTTTGTAAAATTTTAAAAGATAAGTATCGTTGATCTCTCCGTCAAATAAAATTTAGTGTTTCTTGTTTCGCCACTTTCTCAACCATTTGCCTATAGTAGAGTCGTTGAACTCTGTCCTAGTTGAAGTATTGGGAGCTCTTACATATGCCCCATATTTCAGCCTTATTCATATCTTCAAAATCCTACACATCAATCTGGTAGATAGTATTGGTTCCCCGAGAAAAAGAAAACTGTTAAAAAGGGTAACTGTCACTGTTTGATACTTGATAAATTTCAGACTACAAGCTCTTAATCTTTTATTAATAACTCTTGAAATGATATAATTATACAACATTAGACATATAAAAGAAACTCAACTAACGTTATATATAGAGAGAGATATTCCCTCTAATCTAATCTTAAAATTTAGCCATTATATTTCATTCTCACAGTAAAACTGACGAACCGTTGCCAGCAAAACTAGCAGCTTGGGATATGGATAAGTGCCATTGATGTGGTGCTGGAAACGTGGATGCATGCTATCAAGATTTAAACCTTGATTTTCACGAATATTACATTAACTTTTTTTTTGCATCTTTTAACGTGTGTTAGAAAATAAATTTTATGTGTGAGTATAGTATTACGTGTGTAGTGATGTGCGTCCGTGTATGTCTGCGGTATAACAACTAAAAGAAAATAAAAACACACACCTCTAACCAGGGTTTACATTACCGTCGGTAACCACGCGGTTACTGGTCTTACCGCGGGGTACGGTAATAGAAAAACCACGGTAACCTCCTTAAATTTAAATAAATTTGAAAAATAATTTGAATTTTTGATAAATTTTACACGGTTTTATATGGTTTTTCACGGCTAATGTGGTTACCGTGCTTACCGCCGAGGCGCGGTAACCCCGGCCCTTGTTTGATCCAAAGCGTGATATAGGCCATAGCCGCCTCCACACAAACAATCACGAGGAGCAGCCAGCCGATCTTCCGCTTCAACACCTAACCCCCAATCCCAAATTCCCAATTCCAATTCCGTATTTAATCCCTCCATTTCCCAAATCCCCCAAACCCGATTCCACCCAAAATCCTCCTCTCCGCCTCCGCCTCCGCGCCCGCCATGAACTCGCTCCAATCCTTCCTCGCCCTCAACCCGCCCGCCGCCGCCGCCGCCCTCGGCGGCGCGCGCCTCCGCCCGTCGCGCGTCACCGCGTGCCTCGCCACGCCCACGCCCACGCCGCCGCCCCCGACCTCCGCGCCCCTCGCCCCCGCCGCCGCGGCCGCGCGCCGCGAGCTGTCCGCCGCGAGCCGCGCCGTGGTGGAGGACGAGGCGAGGTACATCGTCGGGACGTACAACCGCTCCCGCGTCGTCCTCGTCGCCGGCCGCGGCTGCAAGCTGTACGACGCCGACGGGCGCGAGTACCTCGACATGGCCGCCGGCATCGCCGTCAACGCGCTCGGCCACGCCGACCCCGACTGGGTCGCCGCCGTCTCCGCCCAGGCCGCCACCCTCGTCCACGCCAGCAACGTCCAGTACACCGTCCCCCAGGTCAGTCTCGAACGCGTCACGCCCACCGCCCACCACGTGTTCGACGCATTGTCCAACCCACCTCTCGTCACGCCAAGCTCACCGTGATCATTTCTTTTTTCCGCGTGCAGGTGGCGCTCGCCAAGCGCCTCGTGGAGGCCTCCTTCGCGGACCGCGTCTTCTTCGCCAACACCGGCACGGAGGCCAACGAGGCGGCCATCAAGTTCGCCAGGAAGTTCCAGAGGGTGGCGCGCCCCGACGGCGACGCGCCCACCGAGTTCATGTCGTTCACCAACTGCTTCCATGGCAGGACCATGGGGTCGCTCGCGCTCACCAGCAAGGTCCAATACCGGGAGCCATTCGCGCCGGTGATGCCCGGCGCGACGTTCGCCGAGTACGGGAACCTAGAGGAGGCCAAGAAGGTGATACAGTCTGGCAAAATTGCTGCCGTGTTCGTCGAGCCCGTGCAGGGCGAGGGTGGGATCCATAGTGCCACCAAGGAGTTCTTGCAGGGGCTGCGGGATGCCTGCGATGAGGCTGGAGCTCTCTTGGTCTTTGATGAGGTATGAAACATATTTCTTATATTACTCCTTATGTTTAGTATGCTGTGAATTGGTGTTGATTGAGTAATCCATGCTAATCTCACAAGTTCAATCCAAATAGTATAAAACTATTGGTAACTACTTCACAATTTGTATTAGAACAGATGGAATTGTACAAAGTAAAAGTTGTTAACATGCATTTAGTTTAGACCAGAGATCACATTCCATAGGAACCTGCATTTTCATACTTATTCAAATCAGTGCAAATGTCCTAAGCTGTCGATCGTCAATGAACAGTTCTGAAATTCTATGTCTCTGTTGCATTCAGAAAGAGGGCGCTGATCTAATCTAACACTCCTGTTACATGGTTACTAAACACAGGTGCAATGTGGTCTGGGACGCACAGGTTACCTCTGGGCGTATGAAGCCTATGGAGTACTACCTGACATTATGACCTTGGCAAAGCCATTGGCCGGTGGTCTCCCCATTGGTGTAGTCTTGGTCACCGAGAAGGTTGCTTCAGCAATAAACTTCGGCGACCACGGTACCACATTCGGGGGAGGCCCTCTTGTTTGCCAAGCTGCATTGACCACATTGGATAAGATCCAGAAACCTGGCTTCCTAGCAGAGGTGGCCAAGAAAGGAGAGAACTTCAAGCAGCTTCTCAGTACCAAGCTGAGCGGAAACGCCCATGTGAAAGAGATCCGGGGGATCGGTCTCATTGTCGGCATCGAGCTCGATGTCCCAGCGGGTCCTTTGGTTGATGCGTGCTTGGATCGCGGTGTCATAGTGCTGACAGCTGGTAAAGGCAATGTTGTGAGGCTGGTGCCGCCACTCATCATCTCGGAAAAGGAGCTTGAGCAGGCTGCAGAGGTGATAAGGGACTGTCTACCTGCACTTGATGCCTCTACCTCTTAATGTAAGCAACATCCTTAGCAATGGAGGCTAGAATGATCTTCCCCTTTTGGGAAGACCCTTAGCAATGGATGTTAGAATGAACCTCCCCTTTGGGTGGAAGTTCAGATATAATGTGTGCCATAGGTCTACTTGTCGAATCTTCTTCCAAATTTTGGAAACAAATAATGATATCAAAATGTTGTAGTCCAATTGCTGTCAAAGTAAATGATTTCTTGGAGGCTCTCTAGATACTAGATAATACTATCTGAATTCTTCCTTTTTTCAGTTTTTGTCATTGACAGAATGCAGGAATCTCTCTCTACGAAGGGAGAAGCCTTGCGAGAATGCCGACGATGGGCGCGACGGTGACGGTGGACGGCTCGGCCTGCCGGAAATTCTGCCGGGAATCGTCGTACCGGTCATCGGCATCCGGCCCTCCGACGATGGCGCCGGCGATCACATTGGGATCCGGTGAGCCCTTGTTGAGGTAGTCGAACCCACCCTTGCAGGTGACCTTCGCCGGGCTGGACTTGATCGACGGCAACGACGCCGCCCGGTGGTGCACCTCCGCCGGGTACCTGCTGCCGTACCCGACCATGTAGCTCATCGTCTCGGGGTTCGAGCCGAGGATGTAGTCCACCTGCGACCGCACGAACGCGGTGAGCTGCGCTGGCGACCGCGAGGCGCCACCGCCGCACTGGAGGGAGGCCGACCTCGCCGCCGTCAGGTGGTCGGCGTGCACGGCGAGTACGAGGGACGCCAGGGTCACGTACTGCATGTTGTTCCATGAGTCCCACCACAGCATGCCGCCGGGGCTGAGCCTGGCTCCCCCGCCGCCGCCGCCATTGCCGCCGGAGTGCTGCACGAGGTTGCAGATGAACTGCTCCAGGTTTGTCTTCATCTCGGCGTGGCTGCCATCGGCCGGCAGCTTCCCCTGGAGGACAAGCTGCATAATGCAAGATTAATTAATTGTATAATGTTAACTTAATTCCGCAATCCAAATTAAGCAGAAATTAATTAACATGACCAAGATCGAATCAGGAGGAGGATAGGTTTAGTGCCTTGGTGACCAATGCCTGCGCTCCGACGAACTTGTCGTCCCAGCTGAACATGGAGCGCACGCCGCCGACGTTGGTGGCGCCGGCGATGTAGGCGCTGTACTCTTCCTCGCCGCCGGTGGCGATGTAGAGCCAGGCTGCCGCCCAGAGCAGCTCGTCCTGTTCCATTGTCATCAAGCGACCAAATCAAACTATCAATGACTTATTCATCAGAGCTGTCAGCTATCAGTGATCGTTATGCATGCCATTGCTACGCACCTCATCGCCACTGCTAGCGTAGAACTTTGCAGCTGATGGTACACTGTTGTGGTACAAGCCACGATGATTCTTGGCAAACTCAAACAACTGCAAAACAGCGTGTTTAATCGAGATAAATACTACTTATTCTGTTTCACATTATAAGACATTTTAGGTTATAAATAGATTTATGAATGGATTTATATAAATTAAATTAAATTGCATTGTGCATGTAAGAAACGTAGTACCTGTTTGGCGTGCAGCAGGAGCGTGGAGGAGAAGTTGGCGTCGGCGGCGGAGGCGAGCGCGGCGGCCGTCTCGGCGGCGATGTCGGAGCCGGGGCTGGAGGCGTTCACCATGTACGCCGTGCGGGGCGTGTCCATGTTCTCGGGGCGCTGCCAGCACGAGTGGTCGGAGTCGCCGTCGCCGACCTGCACGTACAGCGCCTCGCCGCCGCCGGCCGACGCGTGCGCCCTGGTGAGGTAGTCGGCGCCCCACCGCACGGCGTCGAGCGCGTGGCCCAGCTCGCCCGCCGCGTCGAGCCGGTCGCCGTACTCCACGACGCTCCACGACAGCGCCGCCACCGTGAACGCCATGGGGAACCCGAACTTGACGTTGTCGCCGGAGTCGTAGTAGCCGCCGGTGAGGTCCACCTGCATATCGCATTGCATTGCGTCAGTGCGCGCACACACGGACACGTTCGAGGACGGCGGCGAGGCGAGGTCAGGTACGCGGTGGTCGGCACCGTCGGCGAGGGCGGAGTCGGCGCGCCACTGGACGCGCTGGGCGGGAGGGAGGCGGCCGGAGCGCTGGCCCTCGAAGTAGAGCAGCGACATGGCGAGCGCGGCGCGGTAGTCGTGGCCATGGGCGTCGCGCACCATGCAGCTCGTCGCGATCACCACCAACTCTATCGCAGCCGCAAGCATCGCCCAGCTTCTTCTTCTTCTTCTTCTTCTTCTTCTTCGATTAATTTCTTGGATTCTTTTCGTGCTTATAATTTAATTTAATACTTGCTGTGTGTGTTGATCTCATAAGGAAATGGACAGGATGATGATGATGAACACGCTTGAATCCGGCATAAATGCATGCATTGATTTTTTGGAGGTTTTTGGGAGATTTGTGATGTTCAAATCAATCTCATTAATCGACAATACCATGCATGCATGCATGCATTTATACCGTATTTGTATATATATACAATTAATTCATTTCCAACTACCAGTAGACTTGTATTGTGTATGGATTATATGGGCAGAGTGAAATCAGCACAGAAATCTTTTTAAGGATGAAAGAAATGCATCAAAAGTCCTCTTGTGGATGAACCAATTACGGAATTATTACCAATGATATGTATATATCCGCTGCGATTTGCGTAATGACATTCTCATAATTAATTTAGCTTCAAAATATTTCAGGTAATTCAATTTAATACGCTGATAACAGTAGATAGAAGGAAGTATACATGAGATCGAAAAAATATTGCTCAATTTTCAAACTAGCAAATGCTCTGAATAAGTTTAGATCGGCTGATCAAATTGGATATCGCAACTCATCATTCCGTGTTGCTGCAATGGGTCGTATGTCTGAATGGGCTAACCACTCTCAGGCCCACTTTTGTTCCCTACAACTTTGCTTTTTTGTTTTCTTTTTCCACATCCCTATTTTCCTCGTCCTTTTTGTTTGGCAGCTTGCGAAAAAATAAAATTTATAATTTATATACCAATTAGTCCACTGGTTGGGACTTGGGAGTTCAGTTAATAATACTTATTGTTCATATTCAAACTTAGATTGCTCGTGTAATTTTTTTAAAAAAAATGTAGATACCTAAAAGTATGTCATATGAACAAGATGTGTTACATCATTTATATATAAATAATATAATCATAAAACTTTTACTATATATTATGATCTAACCATTAAAAAATGATTGGTGGTTAAAGTCAAAATTGCATTGGACAACAAGGACATATATTTGAAACCATGGGGAGTTTTTCTTTTTGTGTTCTTTCATACTCCCTCCATTCCATAATATAAGGCACAACCATTTTTTTAAATGTTCCATAATATGCATGCATGCATATAGGTCATTAACTATGACATTTTCTCCATTAAATTATTACTTTTTTAAATCCTCCACTCTCATGTTCTCTAATTCTATTGGATGCATGCATTGTATTTATTAGGATGATCCAAGCTACAAGATGATAATAATTATTTTCTTGGTCTTTGGGTTAAGGGTGATTATGCCTTATATTTTGGAATGGAGGGAGTACATAATTAGCTAGGTTTTGACCCATCATTTTGGGTTAATTTGCAATATCGTGCTATAACTCATGGTTATCCCGTGCAATAACCTTATCAGTTTTTGAAACCTTATGATTTTTAATGGTAATCTCACCATTTTCACGGATTTTGGGGATCTGAAATGTCTTTTTTTCAGTGTTTATAACTTTTTTCAATATCGAACAGTTCATATCTTGCTTTTCTGTTGGGGGTTAACCGTTGTCTCTTAAAACAAAATGAATTGTTTGGTAATAAAAAAAACACTTCTAAGTAACTTATATACAAATAAACGAAAAACATCCTAACTGAAAATTCCATCAAAGTTTTAAATTACAGATTTAATTTAACCTATGTATGGTACTACAAAATAAGCTGACTGATCGACGATATATATATATATATATATATATATATATATATATATATGTATATATATATATATATATGTATATATATATATATGTATATATATATATATATGTATATATGTATATATGTATATATATGTATATATATATGCGCCTAAGTCAAATACCAGATAGCTTTGATTAGTATACCTTGGACGTATCAAAATCATACTAAAAGTAAAGAAGATATACAATCCAATTTGTTGATTCAATATAAGATGATAGGCAATGCATGGCGAAAATTGATATTGGAAAATGAAAATCAACGAGAGAGCAACTCAAGCCATTGGCGATATAAAAGCCTAATGCGGTGCCAACTTTGACGGCTTACGCCATCCAACGGGTTTTAAATTTTAGGGTTTGTTTGGTTTGGAGCCAATTTTTACCATACCAAATCTTGGTAGTGCTAAAATATTGGCAAATTTTGGCATTAGCAGTATTCAATTTGAAATATTGTGGGTATAAAAATTTGTAGCAAACCAAACATGCACTTGCTTGAAGTTACCAAAATTTTGGTAGGGTAATAAATTGGTACCAAACCAAACAAGCCCCTAATGACCACAAATATTACGTATATATAGACTTTTAACATGATTTTGATGAGACCAATAATGTGTCACTGGTTTCCATCATAGTGCCCATAAATATTACATACATGTGGGCTTTTAACATGGTTCTAATGAGATCTGGAATATGCCACTGGTTTCTGTTTCTTAAAGCATATGTAAGGGGACGTATTTACAAAGGTGTGATGAGTATGATATTGGGTGTGTAGTGATGTTTGCGTGTGCATCTAAAATACAATCATAAAGTAAATAAATTTTTTTTGACAGATTAAACTACCGTTGGCACGTAGTGATGGAAGCACTAATGAGTAATGACTATCATGAGCGGAAAGCACGTTGTTTGTTTAGTACTCAACTTTCGACCGCTCTCACTGTCTTTTTTTCCCCCTTTATTATTTTTTTGCACGGTGCATGCTTGCACTACAAAAGCTCAAATTGCTTTTCCCATCCTCTCAATTAAAACAAATTCGTTTAGATTTGAAAATAGAATTATATATGTTTTACAACTCTAATGCTTTGATGGGCAATATAAATTAAAATAGAGGTTCTTTTAATTTTAATCAATTACAGCCATAATAACTCTAGGTTGGTGTAAGGACTTTGAAACTGTCTACAACTACTTGTTATGATCCTCAAGAATATGTAACCACCACCATGAGTAGAGCTGTATGCGCAATGTACATAAGATTACCCTTTGGCCGAGCGAACCAAGCCATATAATTGTTTGACATAAGGCTGATAAGCCGTTAAAAAAAAACTAAGAAACAAACAAACAATTTAACGACAATACTTCTATTCTTAGCGATTTTAACACAACATTTTCTCCTCCTCTGTACCTTGTTTGTAGTTGTCTTACTATGATTCAAAACTTAGTTCCAAATTATTTGTCACTATTAAGTACTCCCTCCGTATTTTAATGTATGACGCCGTTGACTTTTCAATCAACGTTTGACCATTCGTTTTATTAAAAAATTTTGTGCAAATATGAAAATATTTATGCCGTGCTTAAAGAACATTTGATAACGAATCAAGTCACAATAAAATAAATGATAATTACATAAATTTTTTGAAAAAAGATGAATGGTTAAATGTTGGAAAAAAGTCAACGGCGTCATACATTAAAATATGGAGGTAGTACTTACTTGTCATATCAATCATTTCACATTTAAATTTCTTGCCATCTTACCTTAATCACACTTATATTTGTAACCATATATTATTTAATAAGAAATGCTATATTTTTTTAAAAAAATCGTAATGTGTGTCATAGAACTAGAACGAGTAATGTGGGACCGATGTAGTACATAGTAGCCCATGAGGCTTCTTAGGTATCTCAATATAGTAGTAGTAATAAATAAATACTCCCTCTATCTCACAAAGTATAAATTTAGTATTGTGAGTGAATAAATTACTATGGGCATGTTTGTATTGGAGCCGATTCTTGTCCTACCAATTATTTGGTAGTTTCGAATAGTACTTGTTAGCTATTTAGCGGATTGAGGTTAAATCTTACCAATTCAATAGAGATAGAAACAACACAACTCTACCAAAATTTTAGTAGTTTCAAAACTTGCCTAATATTTAGCATTTTGGTAGGGGCTTCAAACCAAAACAATCCTACGAAAGATAAAAGAAATTAAGGTAAGATTAGCAGTGGTATGCTTCAGATGGCCATTCATCTTGGTAAAGGTGAGACAGAAAGGTGCCCTGCTCTCTCGTGCTCACGGACGGCTGAGTCATTGCTTACATCATCTATGATGTGATGTAATCCTAGCATCAATACTGAATTATTGATGTTCTCAAAAGAAACACTGAATTATTGATAATACAAACAAAATTTCCATCTTATTTTTTTCTCATTGAAAATCCACATAATTCCATTGGTGAGGATTTGCTAGCACTTCTCTCTTGGATGGATGCCAATATTTTTTCCTAACATGCATAGTGACATGGCAACTAATACTAATGCTGCTGTTAACCTTAATAAAAATAATAATGTAATGGTTGCTGGATGGCCATTGTAGGGCACATGTGGTTGTGATCAAGCTCTATTAATTAAATTTTTTGAGAGGGAAGGTTTGTGGTTGAGTTAGGTAATTAGTAGGTTCACGCCAAGGAAGGTCACAACCAAAATGAGGAGCCTCGTATACGTCCACTACTATAGTATATTATCACCTCAAAATCGCTACGTGCACACATGCATTGTCATGGATGCTTGGTGGCTAAGTTATCATATCAATCAACTACAACGTGTAGGCCACTTGGTGCAAATACAAGGCAGCATGTTCTATGATCAGCTGATATCTGGGGCTGAAGGTTAATGTTGGGTGTGACAGTTAAATGGCGCAAATTGTATGGAGGTGAATAGTATAAGATGTTAAATGACACGAGTTGTATGGAGGTGAATAGTATATCATTTTTCGTAATGTTTACCAATCGATCGATCATAACATATTATATTAGATATTTATACCGTTTTATGGTATGTAGATTAATTTTTTTCCAATATATAGCATGCCTATTGCAGATCGATCTTGCCTCCATGGTAGTATTCGAGGTTCCATCGTGATATCCAAGCCAATGTGGTCATGTAGCGCTCCCAAACAAAACATTGTGTAAAAAAACGATGACGGTTACATTCTAGTTCTCAACATCTTCTTTCGACTTCTATATATGTATATATAAACACACCTTAGGATGTGTTCTTTCCCCCATTTTTCCAACCCATCTCTCTCGTTTTCCGCGCGCACTCTTTTCAAACTGCTAAACGGTGTGATTTATTAAAAAACTTTCTATATGAAAGTTGTTTAAAAAATCATATTAATCCATTTTTAAAAAAAAGTTAATACTTAATTAATCATGCAATAAAACGAACTTCGTTTTTCGTGACGGGGAGGGGGTTCCCCAACCCCCTCCTCCAAACACAGCCTTAATAACACCTGGATGATACAAGCAAATGATTACAACTACAAATCTTGTAGTAAAGAAAATTAAAGGTGAATGCTGAATTGCCAATGAAGATGCAATGGAATATGCCTTGCATGGGAGATACTATAATAGTATTGTGAAGAGGAAAAAAATAAAAGGAGATATTAAAGCAAATGAAAAAAGAAAAAGAGAGAAGAGCTACTAGCTAGCAGCTGAGAGAGGGTATGCATGTGGTTGTGTGCAGAGAGCAGTGTGGCAATGAGCTGTGTGTTGTGGGTGGCGCCGCAGACAGGATGTGCGGCGCGATCTGTCGCCCGTCCAAAACAAAACATCCTGCGGCCGCGTCATCCGCCGGTGGACGCCGTACCAACTTGCGTCGCCACCCACCCACCCCATCTCCCCGTTTTGCTTCCCCCTTTTACCTGGGGCCAGCCCACTGTATCTAGTACATACCCATGGACAAATAAAAACCACGCATGGTTTAATTAGGCAGAAACGCCAACAGTTAATGACCATCTCCATCTCTCTTCAACGCTTTGATATTTTGTTTGCCTCTTGATTACTTAAAAAGTGTATATCTCAGTTTACCTGAGATATTTTTGACAAGGTTTTATGATTTATTTTTTTTCTTATTTGTCTAAGTTCGCATGTCTATAGCACTGTGGAATATCGGTAATATCAACCTACAACGAGTAATATATGAGAGGAGATCTATTACCGATTTTCTTTTAATTTTAATTTCTATGATGTTACATATCCTGTTAATTAGTATGTACCATATGAAAATGTGATGTGATCGTGGTTAATTAAGAGGGATGCTTTGCCTTAAAACAATGTCAAGGAATTCTTAACCTTTTGGGTGGAGTAATCTATACTATTTCTGCCCTATCAGTCATGGCAATAAGAGGTAAATAGGAGAAACCAGCAGCACAAGAAAAGATACTACATATTTTTTCTTGAAAAATTCAAAGACAAGAAAAGCAAGGCATCTAGAACCAGAATATCCTCCAAGCCAATAAGTCATTATCCACCCCCATCCAATTGAGATAACTATTACGTTTCCTTTCCCTATCATAATTCTCCTCGCAAAGTTTAATCCTCCTACCAACTTATAGCTGGTTTTGATCTAATCATCTTTGGTTCTTTTTTTCCTTTCCCTGAAGAAGGAAGCAGGGATAATTTGGTCAAATGATCCATTCATCTTCTTTTTTTTCCAAGAACCCAAACAGCTCTTCCCTTGTGTAATTAATTAAATTAGTAATTAAGCAGGATGGTTGCCAGATTCTACACGTTTCATCCTTTTTATCAGGGTGGTGGTGCCTTCTTGACAGCTTCCTTTCTCCAATGGATATGGATTGCATTTGAAACATGTAATTGGTGGGTAAAATTTGGAATTTTTTAAGAGCAAAATTTGGGGAAATTTTAGTAGTGGCCAGGACCAGCAGCGGCTGTGGGCATATGCGCGTTGTAGGGCCGGGTCACCGTCACTTTGTCCGCCTCGGTTGGTCATGGGTTGCTTCGTCTGGTTCCATTTGCACTTTCACCCTTCTAAAATTTCTAATTTGTTATATTAAAAAGTTATAATTTCTTTGTGACAACATTTAACCGTTTACTATTATTGGTGCTACATATGTTAAACCTCTAACTAGGCACTATTTTTTTTTCAAAAAATGAGGATTGTTAAACATAGGATTGGCTATTTACAGGTGAAGTAAATGCAAAAGGATTCATCGTTTTGTGTAAATTAAATTGATAGTAATACCCACAAATTCTTCAAACAATAAAGCACCTTTACATTTTTCTTTGTTGGAAACTAATCTCACACTGCAATGAAACTTAAAACTTAAGATAAATGCTTGTAACTACGTCGTCTGACGATGTCGAGGAGTGATCCTCTCTAGCGGGAGATCGTGGGATCCCCCTTTCGTGAGTTCGGCCGGGGGAAAAGGCCCGCCTTTGGAAATCTCGTATCCGCCCCCTAGATTATCAGCTAGTGTGCACACCACAAAATTATACAGGTTCGGGCCGCTATGAAGCGTAATACCCTACTCTTGTTTGTATGATGATTCTTCTGTGCTTGTGAAGCCTCTGAATCTCCGACATACAAGCTAGGGTTAAAGAAGCTTTGGATCGGGGATCCAGAGTTCGATCCTTTTCCCGCTAGGCATGGTCCTCCTTTTATACTCTAAGGGGATACCACACATGCTGCGAGAGCTACCTAGGGAGAAGGGAAAATATTCTCTATATTAATTATATATCTTGTGCCTTAGCTTGGAAACCGCATACACGTCGTCTCGGTCGTGGGGCCTACCACACCACGCCGCCTGACACGGGGGACACCCCTGTCAATCCCCCATTAATAGATGGAGAATTATGGTGGTGGTCCTCTCATGGGGAGGACCTCGAATGACCCTTCCGATGGGACGGGTCATACCTACCTCCACTCCGCCGGAGGCAGATGCGACGTGGGGGCGCAGCTGTCTGTCCAGTCAGCTGTGACCGGTGACAGGCCGGTCACAGACCGGTCATTCCTGACCGCCGCGCACCAGTCGGGCACACCGCACGTCTTCTCCTACCGCATTGAATACGGCAGGGAGCAGTTGGGGCGCTGCAGTCATTAAAGGAGGTTCGGCTTCGGCCTTCTCCCCGCTTGCTCCCCCCGCCAGATGGCGGATAGGCGAGAGCCTCGGGGTGAAGCGGTACGAGGGCCCGAGAGGTACGACGTGGCACCCCGAGGCCTCGGGGCGAAAACGTGCGAGGGCCCGAGTGGCACGACGTGGCACCCCGAGGCCCCCTGGCCGCTCCCGCGAACCGCGGGGTACGGAAGTAGGACCAGGCTGTAGGTCATGCGCCAGGATGGGAAGGTAAATTCCCCTCATTCCGCATACCCTCGGGCCCACTTCACCGACAGACGACAACAAGTACTTTTAAAATAATATATTCATTTAACATCGCTTATGTTTTAAGGGTGTGTTTAGTTCACGCCAAAATTAAAAGTTTGGTTGAAATTGAAACAATGTGATGAAAAAGTTGGAAGTTTATGTGTGTAGAAAAGTTTTGATGTGATGAAAAAGTTGGAAGCTTGAAGAAAAAGTTTGAAAATAAACAAGGCCTAAATATCAGATCAAAACACACTCATCCTACTAAAAGCCTGGAGACGAGCTGTAACTTTCCAAGGGGTAGTACAAAAATACCAACTTTCCTGGGTATTAAAACAAAAGAAAAGCAAAAATAATACACATTGACAGATGAGTTAACGCCCGTGACAGGCTGGCACACGGAAAACGCCGTCCAGTCCAACCTCCCATTTTTCTCCAAATCCCCAAAATGCCCTCCTCCCCAGCTATAAATACACCCTCCCAGAGCCCTTCTAAACCTTCCCCATCCGTCTAATTGCGCCCCTTATGCATTAGAGCCCCCGGAGTCCCCTCTGTTTCGCAGATAAGTCCTTTGGTTCCCATCTTTTTATTACATTCAGGTCCTCCTAGTTTCTTTTCCTTTCGAGTCTACTCCTTGCATTCTTGCGAGGAAGCCCCTCGGGTTGGTCGAATTTTAGTTTCCACTCCCTCTCCTCGGGGAGTCGTTGCTGTTCTTGTTCTTGGTCGAGGTTGAGGTTGGTGGCGTAGATCCGATCTGAGGAATGTTTACCTATCCTTTCCTCTAACGTTCGCCGTACTCCGATGAAGTTGAACGTGCTCCGCCGCCGCCGTTCCCACTCCTTCTCCGTCGCCTTCCTCTACTGGTTCTACGTCTTCTCATGAACTCATCGCCTTCCTCCCAAGAACACCATCTCCAGCCTCTAATTGATTATATCTTGATTTCTTTTTCATCCTCCTACTAGTTTCTTTCTTGTGTTCTTTGGAATTTTTTTGATCTCTTGAAGAGATCCGGTTCTTGGATTAAGTTTTGGACAAGAACCGTACTGTGACCATGTCGTCGCCTTCGCGCCGGAGCTCCAGCCCGGAGAGCAACACCAGCGGCGGCGGCGGTGGCGCCGACGAGCGGAAGAGGAAGAGGATGCTGTCGAACAGGGAGTCGGCGAGGCGATCCAGGGCGAGGAAGCAGCAGAGGCTGGAGGAGCTGATCGCCGAGGCGGCGCGCCTCCAGGCCGAGAACGCGCGCGTCGAGGCGCAGATCGGGGCCTACGCGGGGGAGCTGAGCAAGGTCGACGGCGAGAACGCGGTGCTCCGCGCCCGCCACGGCGAGCTCGCCGGGCGCCTCCAGGCGCTCGGCAGCGTCCTGGAGATCCTCCAGGTGGCCGGCGCGCCCGTCGACATCCCGGAGATCCCCGACGACCCGCTGCTCCGCCCATGGCAGCCGCCGTTCGCGGCCCAGCCCATCGTCGCCACCGCCATGGCCGACGCCTTCCAGTTCTGAGCCACCATGGAGAGCTCGCACGCCATGGCCATTGGCATCAATGGCATGGTTGCAGCTGCATTACAACTAGTAGTACTAGCCTCTGTGGTTGTGTCTGATGATGCTTATTATGTTTAATTATGGTTTGCTTCATGTTGTTTTCATTAATCTAGACCATTAATAAGCAATGTGTGTTGTAATCTTGTCTAGTCTTATGTGAGATGTGTTCATCTCCAGTGCTCCTTGCTAATAAGGGTGGAAGAGAACAATCCGATTTGATGTAATTCTTGGAGAGCACATGTGTGCTGGTTTGTGATGTGATGAACTGATGATTGTAATATTTTGACATTGAACCTATGCTATAATGTTTGCAGCAATGAATCTATCCTTGTGTCACTGAATGGTTTTATTTGTTCCTGATTGAATTGTTTGGGAAGAATCCTGTGAATGATGTTGGTTTGGTGAGATGCTAATTGTTCAATGTCTTTTATGTGATGAATTCCAAGATGATATATGCCATTACATAATCCTATCTTGTTGCTGTGTGGAGAATGTAATCATATTTTATTTTTACATCCTTGAAGTATAGTTCGGCATCTGTGAGTGTTTACAGAAATGCTATCTTTGGTCCATCAACCTCCTTTTTCTAAAGTTGGTTGATAGGAACTTCCTTTCTTGCCAAAGCTGGTTCATCCAGGTGTTTAGTGCTTATAACTCTTATTAGCAAGATATGTTACCTAAGGCCTCAAAAGAAGCAAGTTGATCAGGTTCATATTAAAATCCATCCGTCCCTAAAAGTATAGCTACTTCTAGTGTCTAATTCTCTACCTATTGCTTCGACTGAATCAATTACAATCATTTTCAATTTAATTTCATCTCTATCCTTAAACCCCGTTATGTCCATTAAACATGAATTCACCTTTATTATTAAACCCCGTTCATGTAGTTCACAACCATCAAACGTTTCACTGTTTAATTTCATCTCTATTCTTAAACCCCGTTCATGTAGTTCACAACATTAAACATTCCTCGCTTAATTTCACCTCTATTCTTAAACCCCGTAAAAGACTATCCCAGAAGTGCTTATAGTTTAGAACAACGAGACTAGGTAGCAAATATCATTTTCCGTTTAATTTCACCTTTGGGACTGAGAGAGTTAGTACCAATTATCCAGCAACGATAACTAATCATTGAGAAAATATATGGTCGAAGATAATGCTTAGTTTTCCCACCATTTTCTTTGTTCCAAAATGTTCCATGAAAAATAGAGCTAGCTTTTCCAAACATTTTTAAAGCAACCCAACATTTTTCCGAAAAAGTGCCGCATTAGCGCTCTCTCTCTCTCTCTCTCTCTAAAAAACTAGAGTTTCCATCATTATCATTTTATTTTGATGGAATAATATATGTTCTTTCATCGGAATGATTGGTGGAGAAAGGAAACGAAAAAAATCATCCTGTTTCAGTAGAGTTGTACCTGGACTGGGCCTCCTGTTTGGGCCTAGGCCCACCCGACGTTCCGACGTATTAGTGCTATTTTGGAAAAAGTACACCGAAGGTCCCTCAACTTGTCATCGAGTTACAAAATCATCCTCGAACTGCAAAACCGATACAACGCATTCCTCAACTTACAAAACCAGTGCAAATCCCTCGATGGTTTTGACTCCGGTTTTATCCGACGTGGCAGCTGACTCAGCATGGGACCCACGTGGGTCCCACATGTGAGACTCTTCTTCCCCTCCCCTCTCCACTTCTCTTCCTCTCTCTCCTTTTCTTTTCTCTCACTTTCTTCCTCAGTCGGCCAGCGCAGCCGGCGGGGTGGGGAGGAGGCTGGTGGGGGAGGCGGGAGTCCGGCGACAACGACGCGGCGACGAGGCGGCAGGCGACGAGGCGACGACGCTGGAGAAGGGAAACGCCTGCATCCCGCCGCCTCGCTTTCGCCTCCCAGACCAACGGGAGATGGGGTTGGCGATGTTTGGGCACACGCCGTTGTTTCCATTACACCACGCCGCCGCCGCCGCCGACGACGACGACGACAACGACACCTCCCCACTGGCGATCGAGACCAGTAGAGGCACATGCGAAGTGGGTTCCCATGGCGCCATGATGGCAGGAAGCAGTGAGAGCGAGTACTACTCGGAGGAGGAGGTGGGATGGGAGGAGGAAGGTCTCGGAAGCAAAGGCGTGGAGGAGAAGAGGGAGTGGGCACTGAAGCGGCTCGACGACCTCGGCAAGCGCGGGGTGTGCTACCTCAGCCGCGTCCCTCCCAACATGAACCCGTCGCACGTCCGTCTCCGTCGGTTGCTCTCCAAGCACGGCGAGGTGTAGATGATTTACCTTGTCTAGTTCATGCCACTAGAGTTGAAGCCGTGTTCGATTCAATTTGGGATATGTATGGTGGTTAATTTCAAATCTCGGTGCTTATTCGAGAAACCTGGAAGCTGCAATTACTATCTAGTACTACCTCCATATTTTAATGTATGACGTCGTTGACTTTTTATCTAACATTTAACTATTCGTCTTATTAAAAAAATTATATAATTATCGTTTATTTTACCGTGACTTGATTCATCATCAAATGTTCTTTAAGCACAATATAAATATTTTCATATTTACACAAAAAATTTAAATAAAACGAATGGTCAAACGTTGATTAAAAAGTCAATGGCGTCATACATTAAAATACGGAGGGAGTATCTACTACTACGGCGCCGAGCGGAGCAGAACGGCTCGCCGACCTCCCCGTCCTCCTCGCCAACCCCGCTTCCTACCTCCCTGTCTCTTGCCGCCGGCCTCCCCGCCGCCCTCGACGGCCCCACGTGGCCGAGGAGCACGGCTGGGACCCACGTCTCCTTCTCCTCCTCCCCAATCTTCCCGCCTCCTTTTCTTCCCCAATCCGGCGACACGGCGGTGTGATCACGGTGAGGCAACGCGCATGATCAGTCGAGGGAGACCACAGTGAGGGAGCAGGGAACCCGCTGCGGTGCAGGTGAACGATGAGTTCAGAGAGGCCGCGGTCAGCGGATTCGGCAGAAAGCAGAGGAGGAGTCGAGGAGACCCGCAGGGCTAGGAGGCGAAGGCGAGTCGACGAATACAGAGCGTCTCCCTTATCCAGTGTCGTCGCCTCGTTGCCCGCCGCCGCCGTCTCGTCCCCCATCGCCGCGTCGTGGCCGCCACCGCCTCACCGCCTGTCGGGGAGTGACCCTCTCTAGCGGGTGATCGAGAGATCCCCTTTTGTGAGTTCGGCCGGGGGCAGCGGGTGAAATCCGAGGTTTTCGAGACAAAAGAGACACAAGGGATTTATACAGGTTCGGACCCCTATGAAGCGTAATACCCTACTCCTGTGTGTATGATGATTCTTCTACGCTTGCAAAGCCTCCGAATCTCCGATATATAAGCTAGGGTTAGAGAAGCTTTTGCTCGGGGATCCAGAGTTCGATCCGAAGTTCGATCCCTCCCCCCTTCCCGCTAGGTATGGTCCTCCTTTTATACTCCAAGGGGATACCACAAGTGCTGCGAGTGCTAACTAGGGAGAAGGGAAAATATTCTCTATATTAGTTGCATGTCTTGTGCCTTAGCCCAGAAGCTATTTGCACGTCGTATGCTGCGCGGGGCCCATCAAATCATGCAGGGCGCCCTTGTCATTCGCCATTCAATGGATGAGGACTTCCGGGTTCCCGTTCGCACCAGGAAACGGGAACCCGGGTCAGTTCAGAGTGGTTGGACCAGCTCTAACTGGGGTAAGAGGCTGTGAAGCCCCTCATTATTATGATGGGATGGGATGGAGCACGCCGCACGCCGCCTGACAAACTGATCAGGCGAGGGTACACAGCCGCCGTTCCATCGGTCATTCGACCGGTCACGGACTGTCACAGATCGGTCGTACTAATGTTTTATCGGGGTGCTAGCCGATAAGTTATCTGGACGTTGCATCGGCTCATAAGGATTACATATATATACAAGTTGGATCTAGCCGATTGCAACAAAGGTTTCACAGTTTAATCTAATCTGTGGATTTTATGGCATCGGACCTCCGGTCGATGTACGCTTTAACCTTTGGATCAGTGCTTATTTTATCATATCATTGCTAGCCGATTGGTTTCTACTGAACTATATTATTGTTATATTTTATCGTCATCAGCCGATTGCCTTTATATCATTATCTATATTGGACATATAGCCGATTGCTTAAACCCTATCGCTATCGGATGGTATCGGCATCGGCTATTATCGGCTATCAGCTGGAACTACTCGATCGGCTTGTCGGCCGATCGGCTGTTTTGATCTACTATTTGCACATCTTGTCAGTTGCAGGGTCAAACTGACTGGCACGCCCGTATCTCATTAATCTTTGGACCTGCACTGGAGCTAAGCAGATCTCCCAGGCCGGTGTGTTTGATTTTTTCGTCAATAGTTTCACACACAAATTAATAAAAAATGGTGGGCCCCACGTGTCATTCTCACCCATCCTCTTCTTCCTCATCTTTCCCCATCTCACCTCTCTTCCTCTCTCTCTCTCTCCCCTCTCCTCTCAGGCGCGATGGAGAGGGAGCGGCGTGCGGCGGCGCCGGCGGGAGAGGATGCCGTCGAGGTCGGAGGGCGGCGTGGAGGATGGTGGAAACGAGGGCGGGGGCCACGATGGTGAGGGCATGACGGACTCGGGCCACCACGCCTCTGTCCCCTCCGGCCACCACGGCGGCGGCACGCCCTTCTCAAGCGGAAAGCGGCGCTGCGGCGGGTCGTAGTGCTGCGTGAGCGCCGAGAGCAACGAACCCAGCGTGGTGTACTGCAACTCGTGTAGGAAGTGCGGCGCCGACGTCGTCGTCGCGTCCCCGGCATGGCGTGGTCGGCCTGGTACTTGGCGATGGCGGCCAGGCCGTTGCTGTCGAAGCGGACCTTCTCCTTCCACCAGGAGCGGACGTTGTCGGAGGCGCTGCTCACCGGCTTGCCCTTCTCCGGGATGATGCCGTACACGAACCCCTGCGCGTTGCACACCTCCATCATTACTACTGCTAGCTAGGTACGTACGTTGTCGACGAAGACCGTTCCGAAGTTGCCGACGATGTTGATGATACCGAAGACGAGTCCCCCCGAGCTGAGCATGGTGAGGTAAGAGCCCTTGAAGTTGCCGCCGACGGGGCCGCACGCCTGAGCCCCAAAATTTTTAAATTAATTTATGTGTTAAACTGATATGTGGGTCCCACAAGGTTTTGTTTTTCTTAGATCAAATTGCCACATCAGATAGAGACCGAGTCAAATTAGCCACGTATGCGCCACGTCAGCCAAAACCACCGTCCAAACCGCCGAGGGACCTCATGGTGTTTTGGCAGTTGAGGGACACGTTGTAACTGGTTTTATGGTTGAAGGATGAAAATAGGATTCGTCGATAAGGTAAGGGACCTCAGATGAACTTATTCCTTTTGTTAACTTGCATGCATACTCCGGTATGAACAGCCAGCCCACCTGATTAATGGACCTGGGCTGCCATGTGTGTTCTGAATGATGGGCTCATTGCAGACATCTCTAGCTGGGCCTCAACTTGAAATCCAAGAACTGCCCAGATTCATAATTAGTCTTCAAAAATGAAATTGTGAACAATTCTTGCTTCTTCTTGTTGTTACGAAGGGAAGTACTAGTCTCTTTTACTCCAGTTGATGATTGACATGAAGGATATAACCACAAGATGAAGCTAACTTGTGCATATCCTGAGCTGCCACCCGAACACAAACTTCTTATCAACATTCAACAATATTAAGTGCTAAAATTGGTCACAATTAGACACAGACATCACACATGTGCATGCCAACAATTGGCAGCAATATGAAATGCAAGGGAAAAAATAAGTATCTTTATTATTGCTACATGTTACTATTACTCATAGTTCACTCTTTCCTGTCTAAAATGGTTTTAACTGGGGATGCAGTTGTCAGGGATACAAACAATTAATTAATGTTATGGTAGCTGAATGCAGGCAAGTTTTTACAGGTCATCCCAACTCCCTCTTACAACACCATATACACAATAATTTCGACAAAATGATGAGGTTATTGATTGATTTCATCTTTTTTTCCTTTTAATATATGATCATCCCTTGCTCCTCACAGAGGGTGTAGCAGCAGGTAATACCTGCCAATGTCTGTTGCAAGGTGCTACATTTAATTTGGAGTGCAATCTGATCATGGACCAATTGTGCCGGTGTCGAAGTACAGTGTCGTCCCGGAGGAGGATCCTCCGGTGACCCCCTCCATGAGCGCGAACCGCATGTCCTCCGATGGCTTCCAGTGCCTCTTCCTCTGGTTGATGAACCAGTTGTTGATCTGCTTCGGGTCGAGGCCAGTCATCGCGGCCAGCCTCACCTTATCCTCTTCCTGTGAAAGATCAATTGGAAGACAGAGTCCCAGGTCAGTGTGGGTTAGAGGCTTTTGTGTGTCGAAAAGGCGTTTTCGCGACATTACCGTGGGGTAAGGCCAACGGTAATGTGTGTTCCACCAGTCCATAAGTGCCGATCGCGCGTCTTTCGGTAGTTTCCCTTTCTTCCTCTTCTTCAAGAACTCGGACCGGAGGCGGCTGAGGCAGCCACTGTACTTCTTGAGCAACATCTCTTTGAGCTCATGGTCAGCCAAGCGGGAGCTGTGTTCTTGCCCAAAATCTGCTGCATCGGCGTCTCCTGAGCACGGCTCATCCTCTGAAGACCCCACCATTTCATCTTGCATATAGACATGTTACAAATCAGGGGCAGTTTGAAATAAAATGTCATGTATAAAATTAAGCTCAGATTATGTGGCAGGATTACAACATTAACCATGAAAAGCAGCAGTCTCTTCACAAACCGAACAAGAGCCCAATCATCAGTAAGCAAGATAATGAAGAGATTCCAGAGAATCGGCTGTTTGCAGTGCCATAACCAATGAACTATCAGACTTACTAATTACTAATAACAGGCTGTTTAGGGAGGCTACAGACAGAATGCTTCTTAAGTTATCTCATGAATAGGCAAACAGAGTTACTTAAGTGCTGATTTTTTTTTTTTTTGCCTTACACTATATTGGACAAGATATTATCAGAAACAAATGTAGTCAGATGTTACATTGCTGAATATCCACATATTCTCTACGATTTGCGGTGCGTAAATGTTGGATAATATTTTCTTTTATGACTTGACACGGTGAGTCAATGGAATATGCAGCAGCTTGTCTAAAATAGGATCAAAACCAGTTTAATACAATTGAACAAACACTAAAAAAATGAAGTACAATCCATCACCAGAACTGCGCAGTGTGGGAATACTTTAGAATATAAGAATGCAATTCCCGCAACATGATCATTAAGTCTTATAAATACAAACATTTGAATGAAAACGACACAGATAATGCACTGTGCCCCTGTCCATCGTAATCCTCCATCACCCATTTTAAGTTACCATTTTATCAATGTCAATCTTTTTTGCTCATTTCCATTAAATATGCAGTGTTCCATGCCAAACCATCTTTCAGGTCATAGTATTAGCTTAGCGCACCCTTTAACAATTATCAAGAATTATTCTTTTCGACCATAAAATGTGCATCAGGACATTTAGTTCTGCTTGCAATGGTAGTCCATGATTCCTGTATGAAGCTACTGAAGTTATGCCATGGATTCATGATATCTTTACTTGAGATCTACAAGCTACATGGTCTCATTTCATTCAATTCAGTGTAGTAACTCATGCAATATTTTTAAGGCTAGAACCATTTTGGTCAAGTGATATCAAATGTAACATAAGAACTGCTCCCCTCCAGCTTCAAATCAGAAGTACAATTTTTGTGGTTCTGTTTCAAAATATAAGCCAGGCATGCAAAGTTAATTACTTTACTTTCCCCTCAGTTATCTTCCCTTTCTCTACAACATTCACAAGTAAGCACTCACACTGCGTCACTAACTTTGGTCTCTAATACCACAGGGCATTAACAAGGATATCATGATTATTTCCTTCTACAATTCACTCAACCATATAATCTTCTTATATCACACATATCTGATCGAAATATGCATTGTAAGAAAAGGTTGGAGAGTACTTACATTTCAACTATATATTGTGATTTATGCTTTAGCAGTGAATTGTATGTCACCTGCTTGCAAACATGATGCCCTAATAACTATTGCTGGAAGGGACACCATAATTAAGTAGACCACCCAATTAATTAAAAACAATATTTGACATATAGTTGGAATAAATCTGAATTGAGGTACACAATTAAGGTTGCCATGCATATACATTACACCTATCTAGTATAACTACTGGGCTTGACCAGTAGTGTCCCTAAACTTTTAATCTAAAATAACTCCCTAAACTTTTAATTTTGGAACACATTAAGTACTAGTTCACCACCAATCCACCATAAGTGATATACAATCATCCGTTTTTACTATCCTTGAACAAAAATCATGAAAGCTCTAATCATTACATCTATCTTGAAGTCATTTGTTCTCAACTTCTGTAGAATATTTAATAAACAGAGCTTGTCTATACTAGAATAAGAATGTTAGTACCTTGCTAAACCTGAGCAAAGTATGTATTATGCATATATTCTTAGGGGATATATCATATATGTGTTTCAGTTTTTTTAGAATCCATAATTGTGTTCAACAAAATGGTTCCGAGTGCCAATAGTTATGCATGTGATCATCCATTTAATTAGTTGGTAATATGTAGGTGATCACATCAAATTTAAGCAGATACATTTGCATTTTGTGAACTAGGAATCACATGTGCAGGGAGAGGAGAGAGAAAAGGAGCGTATTAGAATTTTCAAAGAAAAGTAAAAAATAAGATCTATGAGCTCACGTTTATTTTCCTATGTAATGGGGGCTAGGGGCCTAAAGAAAACGATTCATAGGATTTTTGCAATCCTATTCCTTTGTTCCGAAGGATCTGATAAGAAAATTTTCCCAAGGAACAACATCCTCCAGAATTCTTATAAAATTTCTCCAATCGAAAGGAGCTTTGAGTATGAACCTAGAGGCAACAAACAAATCATTTACAAAGTGGATCAATATGTTAAAATCTAAACATGGAACAAAATAGGGTGTTGCATGGCTTTAGCTACTTATGATATGCTACCACCGAAAGCTACCTCCAACCAATTATTTTACTTCAACTTGCAAGTTTTTTATATTAATTTGTTTTCTTTAATTCTCTGCTCAGCAATACCAGGTGGCTGAAAGCCTGAAATAATTAAGCTCCCGAGAAGCAAGCACACCATGCATGCAATCGTATTTTCCCATTTGCAGTTAAAATAACATCATTATTTATGTTTTTCCTTACAGATTAGTGGGGCCAGGCCCAATTAACATTTATTGCATAAATATCATATTTCACGCTCCTCTGATTTGTACTAGTAATTAAGATGCATATTTCTACTCGGTGTTGTTCCAAAACATACTGAAAACAAGGAAAAGAAGACAGGAACTATTTTGACCACAGTTGCTACTGTTTGTGCAAGGTACTCCCTCCGTCCTATAAAACAAACTAACTTCTAGCTATGAACCTGAGAGTAAGCTACGCCCAAAGTCGTAGTAAGAAGTTGGTTTTTATGGAACAGAGGGAGTAGTATTTACATTTCCACGGTAACAGTGTTATGGCACTCAATAATAAAATGTCCTTTTGACTTTATACTAAACATGTGAAATGTCCAAAAGCTAGCTTCAGTGTGTTTGGTTGTGTTCATCAGTACAAAACTTGATCACCTGAAATTTTGTAGATGTCACAGTTTCAAGTGAGTTGTGGATGTATAATAGCTTAATTAATTAGTTATAATGGCTTAATTGATAATCATCATTCAAACTAAGAGCTTGTTATATTAGCCTCATCTCTCAAAGAGAAAGGACCTTGTTACTCTCTGATACTTTTTACTCGAAATGAGCCTAAAATTAAAGCATATGGGTTAAATTACATTGACAATGGGTTTATTCGGTAACTTTCAAACACCATCAAAATGTGCAACCTGCCACAATCTTGTGTGATTGTCAAATTGACAGAATATAATTAGGCGCAATATATCAAACTGAGAATTGAAAAAGCACAAAACAGAAATGCATGCCCAATCCAAAACAAATCTTTTTGTTTCTTCGCACGGGGTAACACAACTCCAGGTTCCATTACCACAAGATAATGCATGGAAACAAACCAAAACAAATTACATATCGATTGTAATTAACTGCAAGCAAATTGAAGGAAATCCTTGTGTGATTGAAGCTGCAACCAAGGAGGAGCATGCAAAATCTTTTTACCTGACCCACCAGAGCTAGGAAAAAAAATCACCACTACTACAGCACTAGTAGTAATAACCAGCATGCAAGAGCAAGATTCTCTTTTCACAAAGCCAGCCATCCAATCCAAGCAGTGCCACTGCCACTAGCTACTTCCCCACCATGCAAGCTCAACTCACATCACTCCCCTCTCTCAAGTTCCATCCATCCATCACAAAGTCTATAATAGCAGGCATGCAGCGACTACTCCTCCATAGACTTGCAGTGAGAGAAATAGAGAGAGAGAGAGAGAGAGAGAGAGAGAAGAGACAGAAGCATGGCTATGGCAGTGTGCTGCTACTCCAACTCCACAGAAGCTTGGACAAAACCCTACACGAAGCTTTACTACTCGTCTGACACCCCTGTGCCCCATTTGCATGGACACGATTTGACCTCTCAAGAACTCACGCACGCACGCATTCATCACCAAACCCAACCATGCAATGTATCTGCAATCCAATAATGCACTTAGCTCGAGCGATCTTCTTCCTAGCTAGCAACAGTCGATCGAAGATGCAAAACACAATGGCGAAGCAAGCAATATATAATTTGTTGGTTATTTACCGGAGTTGTCGGTGGGCGGCGGCGCGCCGCCACAGAGGGAGGCGAGCTGGGTGTGGATGCCGGTGAGGAAGGAGGCCGCCTCGTCGAACGGCCGTGTGAGTTCTTCCTTGTACCGCTCCAGCACCCGGCAGTACGTCTCCTGCTCCCGCCATTTATTCCAGATATATATCATTAATCACATGTAATAACAAGCTCCAACCAATTATTCAATGATGAAATTAATCGACTGATCAGCCGTTCGTCCGACGAGCTAACGTACCATGAACTCGTCGAGCTCCGGATCGAGGCCAATTTCCCCGCCGGCTGTCGCGCCGCCGCCGCCGCCGCGCCCCTCCCGGCCGATCTCCTCCAGCAGCGTGGTCACCTCCGGCGGCGCACCAACCTGCCAAAAATTTAATCAAGAACCAAGAATCACACACATGCAACAAGCACGGATAAAAAGTATCATCAAATTATGCTTTCTTGGATGCATGGCGATTGAGCTCTAGCTACCACATGCAGCTCCGAAGGAGGAGGAGGAGAGGAAGAAGAAGAAGCGAGCGGAATTGGACATGGACAAGGACGAACACACCTTGCGGCATTCGATGTAGGCGGAGAGGAGGGAAGGGTAGCTCGGGTGGCCGGCGATCTGCGCCTTCATCAGCTCCGTCAGATCCGCCGCCGCCGCCGTCGTCGCCGGCGGTGGGGGATGCGGCGGCGAGCTCCCCCCTCCGGCGACCCCGGACGCCTCGCTGGCCGCACCTCCTCCTCCCCCACCGCCGCCGCGGGAGATTCCCGGGTGGATGCTGTACAGATCCTCCATGTCCAATCCCCTCTTCCCCCACCTCACCTCACCTCTAGCTACCTACCTAGCCAAGAAGCTTAGCTCAGCTTAGCTCAGCTCAGCTAGCTATCCAGTAGCTACTTCCTTCCTCCTCATCTACTGTACATCTCCACACATAATAATACTGAATCAGCAGCAGCAGCAGCTGGAGATGAATCAGCAGGTGTAAGCTTAAGCAGCTCCAAGTTCCAGCTTTCCAAGAAGAAGAAGAAGAAGAAGAGAAAAGCTAGTAGGAAGGAGAAGAAGAGGAATTTGGCAGCGGATTGCACTGCAGCCTCTGCTGCTGGAGCAGCAGCTGCAGCTCCTCAGATCAGAAGGAGAAGGAGAAGCAGCTTCTGCAGGGTGCACTTGTAGGTAGCAGCGGCAGCAGCGGGATACATGGGTGCTTTGCTTTGGGAGGATGGAGGAGTCACCTGCTTGTGTCTGCAGGCAGAGAGAAGAAGAGATCAGAATTCAGACAGACATGGAAACAAAGATTGGGAGAAAGGAAGGAATAGCTAAGCCAGCAACCTTTTTAATATAATTTTCTTCTAAACAAAAGCAACTAAGCAATTTTTTTTCAGAATTTTCTTAGGAGGTGTCATGACTCATGAGTCATGAGAGAGAGAGAGGGAGAGATAGGGCAATTGGAGCTTTTGCATGTGAGTCCTTGATGGAGCTGATATTTTTTTCGATGCCTTGTTTGAGCATGGAGCTTGATTAGTTTCTTTCTTTGTAAGTCAATGAGCTCAACCTAATTACTCAATCCAGATTTGTATTTAGTAAGAGACGTATATGATTGTCTGTTAAAATGTGAAAAATAATAAATAAACTCTATATTTTTGTTCATGTATTTCTTACTCGTAGATAATAGGTTAGAGCCACGTGTTAACGCACAACTGCACAAGCTTCTCGCCTGTACGCCGCACGTCTAGCATGGGGTGTGTTTAGTTCACGTCAAAATTGGAAATTTGGTTGAAATTGGAACGATGTGACGGAAAGAATGGAAGTTTGTGTGTGTAAAAAAGCTTTGATGTGATGGAAAAGTTGAAAGTTTGAAGAAAAAAATTTGAAACTAAACTCGGCCATGCTTGACTATACAGGTTAGAGCTGCACATCAGTAGCTGGAATAAGTAGTAGTAGCTGGTTAACAGCCAAACGATCCCTCAATTTTCAAGAGGAAATAGTACCCACAAAATCACTTCCCTTATCTTTCGCTTTGAGCCATTACAAAATGAAGGTTTTTTTTTCTTTTATTGGAAAGATATTTAGTATGGCTTAACCTTTGAAATACATTACTCGTCTCTAGTTATATTTTCCAACCATTCAAACTTTTCTCATTTCGTCGACCTAAGTTAATTCCTCTTGAATTTGAACCATTGTTATACCACTCCCTGACGTCGTAGCATAGTTGAGCCAAATTAGCTTTGGGTGAAAATGACCATATGGCCCTAATTTATTACTGGTTACTTTGAATGATCAGAATGAGTAATCATTTCAAACCAAGAATACACCAGCCATTCCTGCCACAGAAAGAATCATGGATGAAGTGTTGTTCCTAATAATCGGTTAGTAAAATTTGAATCGTACGCTACTGCGCTGACCCCACGTTTCTACTACTTACCGAAACGTCAAGCATGGTGGGACAATATATAGGAGTAAAACATCAAGTATACTGGAACAAAGGAGTAGTATGTTAGAAACATTAAAACAAGGGTAAAACAATGCATACCAAAAGGTGTAACAACCGCCCCATGATACAAATAACATAAGGAACGAGTAGGATGCAAAATTTGCAAATACAACCAAAATTAGGGGCATGGGTGTACAAAATGGAGCAAAGTGCAAAAGATATTGGCCAAAAGGGAGGTGTGTGTGTGAGAGAGAAAGAAGACACACAGCACACAGTGAGTAAACTCAGAGCACTGTCCCTTTGCCCTTCCTCCCCCCAGAAACAGTGCTTCCACTGTACTGCCCGCTGGGCCCCACACCCCCACCCACCCACACGCTCGTCCGCCTCACAGGGAGGTGGGACCCAGAGCGACGTCGCACGTGGGAAGGTGCGCGGTGGGGCCCTGGGCGTCAGTGAGTGTGGGGTAGGGCCATGGGGGGCGCCCGTATTTACAGCCGTCACGTCGGGTGTCCAGTAAGCTCGACGTGACGTCCCGCCACGTGCCGTCTTGTCACTGGCTCTGCGTAACCACTGCCAGCTCTCAGCCTTTTTCTCTTAATTTTGATTTTTATAAATTTTAATTTGGCATAAGAAAGTACTCCTACGAGTACTAGTACCACTAGCAGAATAAAATAACCATTGGTTGATCAATTCTGGCAGTTCCATGTTTGAAACAGGTTTTCTGTCCAGGAAATGTTAATTTGAAACAGATTATGATAAGCTTAATAAACACTTCAGCTTACTCCAACATACTACAGTATTTAACAGAATTTATTTTTATAGACGTAGTGCCAATAATACACAAAAATAATCTGATAAATTAATTAGCCAAAAAAAAGGGTTGAATATCAAGCTAACTATAGGCTTAAGCTTAAACTTGATTAGTAGAAAAGATTAGACCTAAGCGTAAAATTCAGCTTATTATTTATCCAAACCATTAACGATACTCAAACTCAACTAGCTTATTCTACTGTACTTGTACAAATGAGGGTTGAACACTTGAACTCGAGTACTCCCTCCGTTCCAAAAAAAAATGAATCTAGCACTGGATGTGACATATTTTAGTATAATGAATCTGGACAAAAGTATGTCCAGATTCATAATATTAGAATGTGTCACATTTAGTACTATGTTGGTTTTTTATGGGATAGAGGGAGTAGGCTGGGACTGGGAGCCTCCAGTTTTTTAAAATCCTACCGTTAATGTTAAAAATGAACAATATTAAAACTCAACTGGCTTGTATAGCACTTTTTTTTTTGCAATCTGGACACAAGCCAAAATAAGGGTTGAATCTTGACCAAAACCAAAGTGAGGGTCGAAATCGAGCAGGTTGTGAGCCTCCAGTTTTTTTTTGTGTGTGTGGGGGAGGGGGTTGAAATCCTAATACTACCATTAATGTTAGGGTAAATTTGGAAAATACCATTGCAAAGATACGTGAGTTGCAAAATACCATCGTACGTGAGAATGACATGTGGGGCCTGGACCCACATGTCAATGACACATACGATGGTATTTTCCAACTCCGTGATTTTTGTAATGGTACTAGCCAAATTGGCCCTTAATGTTAAGACTGGCATGTTGATCTTCACAGAAGTAAAAGAGTAGAATCCCATATTCATGGTAAGAGTATATTGGAGGCTTTATGAGCACAAGTCAAACGAAAACCATATTAGCTGCAGGAACCACACAAACCCAAATCTATCCCTTTTAAAATATTTTTTTAATAATGGATAATATGGTCCTTTTTAAGATAATAGAATAAACATTACAATCTCGATCTGCATTGATTAATGATGCACACAACTATTTATTTATACTAATTTTGTTTACCAATCGCACTATCGAAGGCTAGTATTAGAATGCTAGCTCAATATGTTTTCTGTTGAGCTTCTGCGAAAATTCATCATCATGGAAAAGGTCTCATTATTGGATGAATATTTCTGAAACATTCTGATCACAAAAGACATTCGAAAATTATACTATCCAAGACTGCAGATATATAGATTGCATAATAGTCTCATGCATGGTTTGTTCGACGTGCATTTGCCGGTGGTGGGCCCACGCATTGCATGTGGCTCATTGGCACGCACTGGTGGGTGGGGCCCCTTATTCTTTTCCCCTTGGAAAATTTGCCTCCAGCGTGTCCACTCATTCAGGCCACAATCCTCTCTTCTCCCGGACAAAATGTCAAGCAAAGTACCAAATGATCATCAAGGGAGAGACCAAGCTATTAAATAAGGTTCAACCACTTGATAGAGCTTCAAACAGTGTGGGTAATATGAACCTCTGGTCGCTCCAACAGTGGCTATGATGCCAATGGATATGCTCAATTCCGAGTACGCCGACTTGCTAGGTTCACATCACAGATTACCACGTCTAATCTTAACCACATCAACAGAGTTAGCTATGTTATTGAGCTGTAGCAGCAAAGAGATTTTTTTATTCGTCGGTGAACTTTTATTTTCATTTCTGACAATAGACGGCATGGTCTCCAGATACGAGCCCAAACGATTACCTTACCATCCGAGGAGGTAATTTTGCTACTACTTGGCCATGGTACCTATAATATGTATGCTATATATTTTCATTAATAATAAATTATACTACATGTCCTCGCAGGAAAAAAAGTATACTACGTGAAATTCTACGCATTGCTGCGAAAATATTATACAACAATGATAAAAGAAAATGATGTGCAAGATTGACTTGCTTGCAGGTAGACAATGTGACTTTTTTAAATATCCTTTATATGCTTTCATACAATTTGAATCAATCATAAAGAAAAGAACATAAACCGATGCGATAATATGGTTGATAGGAGAAGGGAGATAATTTATATAACTTTTTTTAAATAGAATACTGCAAAGGAGGACATATATAAATATTTTTTTTATTGTTGAGTTAGTCTGGATTTAAAATATATCGCACATTGCACGTGCAAACAAACCTGAACCTGCTAGTACAACTTAATTAAAAAAACCAAAAAGATCAATATACTCTTCGTCCCAAAATAAATTAATTTACTTTACACGTGATGTTCAGATTCATGTAAAGGTGAACATATTTTGAAACCAAAGATGTACACTCCAGCAAGCACCGTGGCCATTGTACCATGGGTGATGAGCGTAGGGGGACAGAAGGAAGAGGGAGGCATGTGATGCGAGTTGGTGGGCAAACAGTGTAGTGTAGTTGATGACTTGATTCAGTACAAACCTTGACTTTCTTGGGTTCTCCATGTTTGCCTCCTTCCTTCCTTCCTGGTATTTTCAGTTTCCATCTCTACTCCTGAAATCAAATTAGGCTGTGTTTAATTTACACTAAAATTGGAAGTTTGGTTGAAATTAGAACGATATGACGGAAAAGTTGAAAGTTTGTGTGTGTAGAAAAGTTTTGATATGATGGAAAAGTTGGAAGTTTAAAAAATTATTTTGGATCTAAACACGGCCTTATAGTGAATAAAATTCTTAACCTGTTTTTGTTTTACGTTTATCGGATAATGCATATTTCATTAATTAAGTGAAAAAATTACACTATTAGGGATACACACAACAAAAATAAAAAAAGACACCTTTATTTTACTGTACACACGCTGCACTTCGCTGTTATTTTAGCACACGTCATATGCACGTTTCTTTACGAGCCAACTATATGAAACCTAAACCATGTAAGCTTAAGCTAATCTAATATATAACTGTCTACCACATATTCGACCATAGATATAAGAGATCCTTACATTCTTTTTTGAGATTAAGGATGAAAGAAAAATATACATGCTCCCTTGTCATTGATAAAGGATGATGGTACCTAGGGTAGTGGGTGGATGGTTTGGAACATAAATTGGTGAAAATAAAATTAGTAGTTGGGTGCGAAAAATAGTGCTATGTAATCCCTTATAATTATAGACAATATTAATTTGAATTTTTGGATT